ATCATCCCAGCATCTTCACAATTTATTTATTTTAAAATTTATTTAAATTTGTTTTTCAATGAACAAAAATTAACTTTAAACTTTTGTAGACTACAAATTTCTGTTTGTTAAAATAGAGGGTGTGTGTGTGTGTGTGTGATAAATTAATTTCAATATTTTCCTTAGTTCTTGATCTCAGTTTTGAAGTGGTTATGATTTATAGAGCTGGAGTATGGGTGCTAGATGGCACAGCTGATAGCATGCTGGACCTGGAGTCAGGAAGACTCATCTTCCTGAGTTCAAAACTGGCCTCAGACTCTACTAGCTGGGAAAGTCACTTAACCTTGTATGTCTCAGTTTCCTCATCTGTAAAATGAGCTAGAGAAGGAAATGGCACACCACTCAAGTATCTCCACCAAGAAAACCCCAAATGGGGTCACGAAGAGCTAGAAATGGATGTAAAAACAACTGAACAACAACAATTATGTTCAGAGTTGCTGACCTGAGTTTTGAAGTAGCTGTCATTTCTAGAGTTTGGAGATTATACACATTATTCTTGTGAGTATGATTTGTCTACTCTGTGTCCCTTCATCTGGGTTGTCCCTCATTTTTTTTTCAATTATTCATATTTTCCTGTGGGACAGTGATATTCTATGACATTCAAATTACAGAGTCCTAACATCTCAAAGTTGAGAGGAACCTCAGACAGAACCCCCTTTATCCCACCCTTACATAGACAAGTAGTCCCACTACCTCGCCCAATTCCCCAGGTCTGGACCACTCCTCCAGCTAATGCACATTCTATCCATTCTGAAAGACCCCGCCTCCATCCTACTGCCTCCATGAAAACTGGTCCCAACACCTCCAGCCCAAAGTAAGATGACTCTCCTTCCTTGGCCCTGAGCTATGGCACCCGCCAAGGGCTCCTTTGGTGTTCATAGTCTCTCGGAGAGTTGATCATCTTTTTGTGTGTTCAGATCTCGCCTTCTCAATGCTTTCGGTTAAACTAGGTTTTAATCATCTCTGTAGGTTGCAGTAGGTATAGTTTGATTGTAATGGCCTCATAACTCAGCTGCCTTGTGGTCTTTTGTATTCAGGTATTTCCTTGGGGATATACACATATATTCTATTAAATTCAACAACAACCTATACAATTTGCAATATCCTGTGTTAGGTTTGCGATTTGTCTGTGTACTGCCTTGCTCTAAAGTGTATCATAGTGAACCAGTTATGGGTAACCCTTCCCCACCAGTGCCTTCCTGCCTACCCCAGGAAAGGCCCAGGTGGGCTCTCGTAATTGCGGGAGACTCTAGAACATTTGGCGCTGGAAGGGACTTCTGAGGCCACTGGTCTAACTCCCTCCATCCCTTATTTTACAATTAGGTTAACTGAAGCCCAGGGCAGTTAAATGACCTGCCCAAGGTCACATAGGTACCACATATTAGAGGTAAGATTTGAATTCAAACCCTTTGATTTAAAGCCAATGTTCTTTTCCCTGTATCAGATGGTCAGTTGGAAAGCCTGAATCATAGTCAAACTGAGACCTGTTAAAGACCTTAGGTTAAAAAGGCCAAGGTCTCCCCCTTCATCCAGGGCCCTCTCCAGTTATACTGATCGACATCTGGCCCCTGGACCCAGATGGCTCCGGAGGTGAAAGTGAGGCTGGTGACTTTGCACAGCCCTCACTCACTTAAATCCAATTCACCTGCATGTCATGGCATCACCTCCCTGATGCCAATCAAAAAAATGGCCCCTGGAGGGAATTTATCCTTAATCTAGCCTGAACCTACCATTTTAAAGAGGTAGGAAACTGGGGCCCAGAAAAGAGAGGGAAGAAGCTGTTACATGTGCTAAGCACAATATTTTACACATATTTCCTCATTTGGTCTTCCCAACAACCCTTCAAGATAGGTGCTATTATTATTCCCATTTTACAGTTGAGGAAATCAAGGCAGAGGTTAAGCGACTTGCCCAGGGTTACACAGCTAGTGAGGCTGATTTGAATTCATGTCTTCCTGACTCCAGGCCCAGCTCTCTGTCCTTGGCGTCAACAACTGGACCAGGACTTGTTTGCCTAAAATCACATGACTTGTAGTACTGAGCCAGGATCTCTGATCACTTGACTCTGAGCCTTAGGCTTCCCCCCCCCGCCCCCCCCCAGTTTTCTACCATCTCCAATGAGATAATAAATTGTATCATTTACATCCATAACATTTTAAGATTTACTAAGTACTTTGCATACATTATCTCCTTTGATTTGTGCTAGGAGCAGCCCCATTTGATAGGTGAGAAAATAGGCTCAGGGAGATTGTGACTGGCTCAAGGTCACACAGCCAGGAAGTGTCCGAGGAAAGATTCAAACCCAGGTCCTCCAGACTCTGAGTTCAGCTCTTTTTCTACCATGCCACAAATTACTTGAAGTTCTTTGAAAAACTAAAAGTATTATCTCAGTGTCAGTTATGATGATTACTCCACTATGCTACCTATTTCATAAATTGTCAGATAGATTAACAAACAGGCTGTATCTGGTAGAATGTGCATGAAAGTACTTCCCCTTTAATGAGTCAAGCTATTCGGTTGGCCACAGGCCTCAGGTGAGCAAAGCAGCCTCAGAGAATGGAATAAAGCAAGTCAAGCAAGCATTTTATTGTTTACTATGTGGCACACACAGTGCTAAGGACTGGGTATCCAAATACAGATAGAAAGACAGCGTCTGCCCTCGAGGACTTAATATTTTAAAGGGGGAAAATAACACACGAAGGGAAGCTGAAACATTAGGGGATGGGGCTGGCATGATAGAAAATTCTGGAGAATAAGGAGCATGGTGTGGCAAGGAATGAAGACATGGCAGGCCTGAGCATTCTCCTTAAAATGGGGGTTTGGGGAGGAACCAGCCAGTCAGAGGGAGAAGCCAGAGGGCACAGTGTGTTTCCCAAGTGAGAATCTAGGGATGAAGTGAAACTTCCAGGGTGAAGAGGAATAAAGTCTAAAAATGCATCGCAGATCATGAGGACCAAAGATTCCAAGTTCAAAGAGTCCTTAGAGATCATCTAATCTAACTTATTCATTTTACAGATGAGTAAACTGAGGTCCAGAGAAGTGATTTGTCTGAGATCAAATGATGCAGCTGAGACAAAACTGGAACACAGGTCTGTTCAGGCCGAAGAACCCAGTGTTCTTTTTTTTTTTGCTATAATTCATAGCAGCCAGAGGGAAGTAGAGAGGTCTGTTCCTCAGAGACCTTTCCAATCTTTCTGCTGTAGGGAATTTGGTAACAAGGCCAGAATTAGGACAAGACAGTATCCAGATAGGAGAAAAAGCTTTGGGGAGAAGGAAGCAGAGAATCATTATAACAATAGCTAGCACTTTAATGAATGTAGAGAGTTTACAAAGGCCTTTTAATCCTGTACTTTGAGGGCTGATAGCAGAGCAGAAAGAGTTTGGGACTGGGAGCCAGGAGTCCCTTGAGAATGCTAGTGTGATCCTTAGCAGGCCATTTTTATTTCCATGGACCTTGGCTTTGGGCAAGTGTAAAAGAAGAGAGTCAGTTGAGCAGAGGGGATCTTTAAGTTTCTTTACACTTCAAAGCATCCCGATTCTATGACTCATCCACTCATTCCAACAAGTGCCCACTGATGTGGACCTTCTATCAGGAAGAGAAGGTTGGGCCGGTTTAGCCAGTGAGTTTGACATATTTGCCATTCTCCAGTTCTGTTAGGTCCTCCACTTCCTGGAGATCACTCTCCTCTCTCCACCAGTCCTCAACCATCCTTTTCTGATTTACCTGAACCCCGTGGGGTTCTGCTTTTTCCTAAACTCTAAAGTTGTTCTTTCTTCCCCTGGGACTCTTTCTACCTTTTCTTCAATTCTCTAACCTCCTTTTCAGTTTGTTCTCCACAACCCTGGCATGTCCAGCCCATCTAACTCCAGCAGAACTTTCTAGTCTTTTTATGCATTACTTCCTTTCACCTACTCTATAGTCAAGCCAAACTGGACAGACTACATCATTTCTGATAGGCTGCCCCCATTCCTGGAATGGTCCCCTCCCTCCATTTTTTCTTGTTGTCTTTGCCTCTCAAAATCCATGTTTGCTTCAAAGCTCAGCTCAAGAAGCATTTCATTCCTGAGGCCGGGGTAGGGAATCCGCAGCCCTCGTGGCTTTCGTACTAGAGGACCTAGAGGGCCACATGTGGCCTCGAGGCCGCAGGGCCCCACCTCTGACAGACCCTCCCCGCCTCCAAATTACTTTGCGTATACTTGGCATTTACTTATATGTGTGCGTGTTCTCCTCCCCCCTCCCCACCACATAAGCTTCTTGAGGGCAGGGACCGGTTTTTTTTTTTTTTGTCTTTGTACCAGCCCAATGCCTTGATACCTAGCAGGAGCTTAAACGCTTGTCCCATTGAATGACAGCAACAGAATTAGGGTTAGGGTTAGAGTCGACATCATGGAGGACCCAAGTTTGAATTCTGGCGCGGCAAGTCACCTCATCTCAATGGGCCTCAATGTCCCCAGATGTAAAAAAAAGGCCTCAAAGATTTTTCTGGTCTACATTTATGATCTCTGCCTTCTCCCACCCTCTGATGACCTTTCAGATTTCTTCTTGCTCTCCCAGGAGACCTTCTCGTTCTAGCTCCTGGGGGTTTCTTCTTTCTCTGTTTGGTAGGAGGCCAGAGGCAGGGTTATCCTTCCTAAAGGCGGTGGTAGTAGGAGGAGAGGAGGAAAAGGAGGCAGGGGAGGGGGTGAGAGTCGAGGAGGGGTGAGAAGAAGGAGGAGGGCTGGGGAGGAATCTAGGAGAGAAGAGGCCGGGGAGGAGGAAGATGTTGAGGCGATGGGAATGAGGGAAGAAGAGGCGGGAGAGAAGGAGGAGGAAAAGGAGAAAGGGAAGGGGAGCAGGTGGGAGACGGGGGAGGGCAGAAGAGCGCAGGGGGCTCAGGGAATGCGGGCTGCGGCTGGCCCTTTAAGGCCGCCGCGCAGTGGGCGGTGCTCAGGTAGGAGAGGCGGGGCCCGGCCGGCCGCCCCCTTCCTAGAGTGTACCGGAGGATTAGTCCGGCCGCCGCTCTGCGCCGCCCGCCCGCCCGGGGATCAGGCTCGGGGGCGGATTTAGAGCGCACTCTCGGGCTGGAGCCGGAGACGTGGGGAGCGGGCCGTCAGTCCCCGACGGGACTTGGACGCTCCTCCGAGCGCGGCCGCCACCCCGCTCCTCGTCCTTCACCTGCGGCCAACCTCGGGCGGCTACTTCCTGCCGCTCACCTGGGCTGTGCTCGTCTGGCTGAGCTCACCTGGGCGGTGCTCACCTGGGCCGCGCTCTACTGCCTGCCGGCGCCGGGGAGGGGGCCCCCCCGGAGGCTCCTCTGTCCAAGATGAAGGACCGGCTAGAGCAGCTGAAGGCTGTGAGTGCAGCTTCCCCACGGGGTCGCTCCGGGGGAGGTGGAGGGCAGCCCCCTTTCTTGGGGGTTGGGGGGAGGCCCGGGCACTGCCGCCCAGGAGGCTGTGTACGTGCTAGAGGGGTGGGAGGGTTGGCCTTCCCTTCCTCCATTCTTCCGATCCCCCCTCCCCTGGTGCTTCGAACTCCCCTCCCCACCCGCGTCATGTGCCGGCTGATTCATTCCAGGGAGGCTGCTTGCTTCCCTGACCGCTCCTGCCCCGCACCCCCTTCCGTCTGTCCAGCTCCTCCGAATGGGTGAATGGTTCTAGCTTCCATCTCAACCCCCCCACTGCTGGGTCTCTGTGCACTCAGCATTAACCCCGACAGGCGTGTGAGTGCGTGTGAGTGTGTGTGTGTGTGTGTGTTTTGTGCTCTATTCCGTGCACGGTCACCTAAGCTAGTTCTGGCTGGCAGAGTGTGGAGGGCGGTGGGGCTAGGTCTTCCTGGGGTGACAGAACAAAGAGGTCATTCAGGTCACTCCTGTCTGTTTTCTCCTTTGGGTTCTCTTGCCTCCTTTCTCCCCCAGGCACTCTTCTTTGCCTCCAGCCTCTCCCATGCAGCGGCTCACGCCTCCTCCAACTTGGAAAAAAAAAGGGCAGGTCTGGCTGGCTGCCTGGGCTCTGCTCCTCACCATCTCCTCTCATTATTGATTTTCCCCCCTCATCACTTAAGTTTCTATTATCCAAGATTTATTTTCTTTCTCCTTCCAAGCCTTGGCCTAGTCCTTCATTGCCCTTTGAACTGAGTTTATTGTAGAGATGCAAATGAAATCAAAGTGCCAGACTTCCTCAAGTCTGGAGGAGCATAGGAGGGCAAAGAAAGGGGCAAGGCTTTGTTGTGGGACTTTGTGGGGTTCAGTAGACTCCACCTGTTCCCAGGGGCCCATACTAGTCTTTAGCAAATTATCGGATAGTGAAGTAGGCATAGTATGTCTGTTACTTCCCTTAGTTAGGACTAGACACATTCTAAGGCGTCTGAGGGGTCTATTCAGTTGTTTTAACACCTCCTGGGAGAAGAAGCAAGAAAGATCCCATCCATCCAATTGTTGCCAGCAAGAAACTGATAATTAATAATGCTATGAGCCATCATTAAGTGCCTCTGTGCCATGCTGGGTGCTAGGTGTGATGGAGAGACAAAGGCAGAATGAAGCAGTCCCTGCCCTCAAGGAGCTTACATTTAACTGGGGTCAAGAATATCTACCCATATAAGTATGTTTTAAAAATTGGGGATAGGTAGTGGACCTATGATTTCACCAATATAGTGAACTTCCAGAGGAGGAAGCTTCTCTACCAAACCAGGTTACCACTTATAGTCTTAGGGAGTTGCTGAGGCACTGAGGGGGTAAGTGACTTGTCCAGGATCACATAGGCAGCATATAAGTGAAATCCAGGGCCTGAATCCCGGTCTTCCTGGTGCCAAGACTGGCGTTCTATCCGTGACATCATACTGCTTCAATCTAGGTTCCATATAAAATGAATACAAAATACATCGAATAAAATTAGGGAGGGGGAGAGCATTAGCAGCAGGCAGGATCAGGATAGGCTTGGAGAGGGTGGTGGGGAGCCCAGTCTTGACTGAAGCGTGGGATTCTATGAGACAGGGGTGAGGAGGCCAGGTATGAGAGTACACCAAGGCTAGGGGGCAGCTAGGTGTGGCAATAGATAGAGTGCCAGGTCTGAACCCAGGAGGGCTCATCATCAGGAGTTCAACTCTGGTCTCAGACACTGGCAAGTCACTGACCCTTGTTTGTCTCAGTTTCCATGTCTATAAAATGAGTGAAGTGACTTGCCCAGGGTCACACAACTAGTAAGTTTCTGGGGCTGGATTCGAACTCGGGTCTTCCTGACTCCTGGTCCAGTGCTCTATTTACTGCACCATCTAGGATCATAAGTTTAGTTTTGGAAGAGGTCTTAGAGGGCATCTAATCCAACCTGCTAGTTCTCTAGACGAGGAAATTGAGGGTAAGTGACTTGTCCAAGGTTATACAGCTGGTAAGTACTGAGTCAGAATTTGAACTCAGGCCTTTGGTTCTCCATCCAGTGCTCCTTTCTAGGCTCTCTTCCTTTCAGAAGCCAGGCCAACGTTTCTTAACCTCAGAGTATCCTGTGGATTGGTCCACTCCCCTAACTAAGCGCTTAGCTAAGATTTGGGCTGGGAAAGGAAGGAACAGGGGGGACAGGGGATCAGGAAGGAGAAAGGGAATCTAGATGCTGGGAGATGGAGGGAGCCACTTTTTAAAGTTGATCTGATCTAATCCAATCCAATTAGACATTATTAAACATCTATTATATGCAAGTTTGGGAGTCCCCACATTGTGGCCAGTGAGGGTCACCTTAGTGACCTTGTAAAGATCCAAATTCAAGCTCTGCCTCTGATAGACCTGCTGTATGAACTTGGCAACTCCCTTAACCTTTTGGTGTTCTAGGCGCTGCTTTATAAATTAGAGAAGTTGCCAGTCTGAATTGATGGGCAGTTTCCCTACTGGGAGCTCCCTACCTGGATGAGATCACAGGTATGAACCTTTAAAAAAAAAAGTGCAACTTCATATACATACATACATACATACATACATATACATACATATATATATATATATATATATATATATATATATATATATATATATATATATATATATGAAAATTTTTTTTTTGGTGAGGCAATTGGGGTTAAGTGACTTGCCCAGAGTCACACAGCTAGTGAGTGTCATGTGTCAGGCCACTTTTGAACTTGGGTCCTCCTGACTCCAGGGCCAGTACTCTAGCCACTGTGCCACCTAGCTGCCCCAACTTCACATATTTTTAAGAAGTAAAGTGACCTTTGGTAGAAAAGTTTTTTTTTTTTAATTCCCTCAGATCAGTAACTAATTGGGGCCAACTAGTTACTGGGTATTTGGAGAACACCAGGGAAAGCCAGGCACTCTTCACCATTTTGGTGTCGTGGGCCCCTTTGATTGCTTTGGGTGTCCCCAAACACTTACTAGGCACCTGTATGACAGGTGCTGAGCTAGGTGCTAAAGATCCAGAGGTGAGTGGAAACAGCCCCTGTCCTCAAGCAGCTGATTTTCGTTCTTGTTGAGGAGGCTTCCTGTACCTAGGTAGTTCTATACAGGAGTGATACAGAGTGATTGTGGGAAGTAGCTAGTAATTGCTGGGGGATCGGGAAAGGTCTCATGAAGAAGGTGGCCTCTGAGCTGAGCCCTGAAGGATAAAACTGATTCGGAGATAGCATATCGCTTTAGAGTCAGTTGGACTTCCTTTGAGAGGGTCTAGAGTTTTTAGTTCCTCAAGCAATGCCCCAACTGGTGTCTTGTGCCATTGCTATGGTGTCCCATCCTGTCCTGTAAGCATTGATTAAGAGCCTGCTGTGTGCTAGGTCATGAGGATACATAGAAGGAAAGAAACAACAGAAAACCATCCTTGCCTTCTGGATCTTCCATCATATTCCTCTGAAGGTCTAGGAAGGGAAGGACTGGAGAGGCTTCTACTTACTCATGGCAATGTCCTCACCTCCAGGACTGGGGTAGATTAGGCCCCTCCTTTTGGAAATCTAACAACAACCACCAACTTTGCCCCTTGTCTCAGATTCCAGGTAGAACTAGGCCCTTCCCTACTGGGCGAATCGTTGCTGAGCACTGAGCTGTGGACGTTGGAATGCGGGGCTATTTTGGCCTTCTGTCTGCTCAGCCAGCGGCTGTCCGTGGTGAACTTACTCCTATGTGAGCAGGAGGGAGGCTGGGCAGCAGAGGAGAGTGACAGGGATTGAAGAGGGATTACAGAAGCCAGCAGGATAAGGCCAGAAGATAAAATGCTTGGATGAAAGAAGGGGATTAATTTTATTTTTATTCTCGGTAATGTGGTGGGGGTGGGGCGGAGGAGCTGAAGCTCATGGGAGAACTATTCAGACAAGCAGCATGGTACAACAGGAGGAATCTAGCTATGGTATTGGAAGGCCAGAGCTCCAGTTATTCTCAGATTAGTCCTTGTGTGGCCTTGGGCAAGCTGCTGCTTGTTTTCTGATCCCCAGTATCCTCCTCTGTAAAAGGAGAGTGTTGATCTAGTTTAGGGGTTCTTAACTTGGGGTCCATAGGCTGGGGGGGGTGGATAGATTTTGAGGGAGTCTGTGGACTTGGATGGAGAAACAAATGACAGTCTTATTTTCCTTAATCTTTGCTTTCTTTTGTTATCCCATGTATTTTATTTTGTGCCTTTAAAACCATTATTCTGAAGGGATCTATAGCAAAATGTCAGAGGAATCCATCTGTGACATACAGAAAGGTTAAGACCTCTGGACCAGGGCATTTCTAAATCCCATGATCCTAAGGGGACTGACTTTTGACATTGGTTCCCACCAGTTTTCTGTTACTTCCACACCCAGAATTCTTTCTCTCCCTGACATTTCCCCAAATCATCCCCATCCTTCAAGGCCCAGCTCAAATCTCACCTCTTCCGGAAAATCTGGAGTCAGTATGTTACAGAGGAAATAGGGCTAGCTCTGAAGGCAGAACACCTGGGGTTAAATACTGCCTGTGTGACCTTGGGCATGTCACTTCTGCCTGGGATTGGACTCCACGGCTTAGTGAGATCCTGTCAAGTATGAGCCCAGAATCTGCCCTACAGAACTCTGCTGAGTTCTTGTGTTTCCTGTTGTCCCTGCTCTTCATTTGCTACCTAATTTTGCGGTGAATTAAAAATAACTGAGGAAACAAACGGAGCTTTACAGGTTATTAGCAATAATAAATGGGTCTGGCCTCCCCCGTCAGTCCCAAGACCCGCTTATTATGCCTGTTTTGCTAATAAATCATATAGCTCAAATTGTTTCTTCAATTATTATTAATTATCCCCCATAATTAGCAGTGGGAAGAGGTAAATGCTATCTTACATGGACGTGTTTGTGTTTTGTTTTCCTGCCTAAGGGTAAGAATTCATCCTGTGTTCTTCTACCCTGCCCCCCTCCCCCTCGGCC